ACATATATATATAGATAAATATAACACACTCACATACATATATATAGATGAATAGAACACACACACACACACATATATAGATAAATAGAACACACTCACATACATATGTATAGATAAATAGAACACACATACATATATATATAAATAGATAGAACACACACACACATATATATATAGATAGATAGATAAACAGAACACACACATACATATATATATAGATAGATAGATAAACAGAACACACACATACATATATATAGATAAATAAAACAGAAGGCGTATGTAAATGTGAAATGTAGTACCAAGAATGTTTTACTGTGTGAAGTTTTTTTTTCTTGTAGTAAATAGTATTATTTCTCCAGTTGATGTAACTTATATAAAACAAGCTGAAAATGTTAGTTGCGTATTCTTCCCGATTAACCCAAACACAAAGAAATTGTCAGAACGTGCACCTAGAAGTATCTTACTCCTCACTGACAAGAGAATACAAACAATATTTTCTTATTTCACCTGACAGAAGGTAAACCTATCACTTGTTCGTCAATTTCCAGACTGGCCTTCTAACTCGAATGTCACCCGTATGATAACATAATCAAATCTTGTCTGGAAAATGAAAAAAAAAAACTGTTATTTGCTACGTGCATAACGTGAATTTGTTGGCTATCATGCGATTGCCGAATTACCAGTTTTTCTGGAAAATCACCGAGTCGAGGTGGATTAAGTAGGAGTTTTGTTGTTTTTTTTTTGGTTCCGAATATGTTGGTTTCTGTTTAGACAATAGTCTGAGAGTATTACTACGCTCCAATAGAAGGCTTATTAGATTACCAAACCTATAATAGAACAAGCATATAATTTTACGAAACTTAAGGTTTAAGGTGAAAAAAAAACTTTACTGTGTCAACTAGTACGTGTGATTTTTTTTTTCCTTCTCGTGTGCCTCGTTAGGACTGTTATTTTCTCGTGTACTTCTATAATGCAGAGCTAAGGTTTAAGACGGTAGTGCCTAGTAATATACGGGCCGTGATTGTACAGGCGTGAAGGTCTACAGCCTACAGAATGTAAACCGAGTGGCGATGTCTTGACGGGTATATCATACACCTTATAACCTAAACGGGTTTTTACAAGCCAGCCTCCGAGGTCGCTGCTGTAGATGATCGGAGAAAAGTTGCACGTTCAGATGCAGCATTAGTAAAGCTGAAGGCGTAGAGCCGGACACTTGGAAATTGATTACACAGCGGTTTGAAACACAATTTGTCAGGAGAGTATTTTATAATTGAATTATATTGTTGTCTCACTACAAATACCAGAGGACCCGTTATTAGCTCTGGAAAAAAAAAACTTAATGTTCCAACTTTCTTCGTATAATTCAGTTTGGTTTGTTTGTTGTTAAGCGCAAAGGTATACAATGGGTTATCTGTACTGTGCCCACCGCGAGGAATCGAAACCCGAATTTTAGCACTTTTCGCTGAGCCACTAGGTAGCGTATAATTCAGTTTGGTTTGTTTGTTGTTAAGCGCAAAGGTACACAATGGGTTATCTGTACTGTGCCCACCGCGAGGAATCGAAACCCGAATTTTAGCACTTTCCGCCGAGCCTCTAGGAAGCGTATAATTCAGCTACACGATGGGCTAGCTGTACTGTGCCCACCACGGTTATTGTTAAAACTTCTATTTTTTCACGCGCGCTCGTGCTTCAAGAAGACTCGTTGAACCTTTTGTCTGAGAGTGGCGTTTCTCTGTAATTAAGCACAAAACTACACAATGGGCAATCTGTGCTCTGCCCACCACGGATATTGAAGCCCAGTTTATAGCGGTGTAAGTTCGCAGACATACCTCTGTACCACTGGAGGGGGGTGGGGGATTGAGAGTTGCAGCTCAACAATTAAACTTCAACTTGAAAAACCTTCCAGAGAAACTCTGTAGAAATTTGTTGAGTTTCTATACCGAAGAAATCCATCTCGGGGGTGTTCTAATAGCCGCTGGAATTCATGGGTTGATATATACCATAGCGGTGGCGTAATTACAAACATGCCCCCCCTCCCCCCCCCCACAGTAAAAGTAATTGGGCCACCTACATTTATTTCCCTATAATTGTATTACGGTTCTGGCTGACTGATACCAATAACTTTACTCAAAATTAAAAAACGAAAACAGAAAAAAAAAACCCAAAGTTGTATCTGGTGTTTAATTTCGAATTACGGGTGTATCAAATTTCCATCCGGGTATTTTACACCCTGGTGAAAGAGAAGTACGTAGTAGTACGCATGGTGGAACTATAATTATCATATTT